TTTCATTTTTTGCTTCTCAAATCTTGTGTAAGGTCCTATATGGATGAATAGAAAATTGAAAAACTTAAACCCACCGACAAATTACTACTACGAAAGAACAATATTTACCTCCGATACTTTGGATTAATTGCGGCGGTTTTTAGGAGCAATAAATAAATAGGACCACATAAATAGTGAATATTATTTACCACAGTTGTAGATAACTACAACGAAAAATTGTTTTTTTTACTCTGGTTGTAGAATCTTCTACCATTTTTGAACCTCAATTCCTACGAATCTTATTATTTAAAAAAAAAACGAATCTTATTTACTCTCTATTAGGGTATGCTTGGTTCAAGGAATGTCAAATTATCATGGGAATGTCAGATTGCTGGATATGTTAGATTGATGGGAATGTATTTAATTTATTCTCACTTGTGTTTGGTGACATCAAGAAAATGTCAGATTGTTGGGTATGTTAAATTGATGAATTAGGAATATGTTGAAGGTCAACAAAATTGTTAATGGAGGGACACTTTTTTCTTTTCATATGGGGTTGATGCAAAAACGAAGGTTTTAAAAAACGGGGTGCAAAGTCCAATTTAGACAATAATGTGGGGTGCAAACTCAAATTACCCCAAATCTAATCTATCTTAAAATGGCTGTCAATCCTGCCATAATGCTCAGTTTAAGTCTAATACTCCTATATTCATGCTCAATCTCTATTATTCAGGTCTACTTTTTAAACCATGGGCAGTGCTCACTGTGTTGCATTCTACATTTTATTGTGTACTTATCTTTGTATTTATATGTTAAATATATAGATTTGTTATTTAACCAAATTAGCTCATTAGTCTAGATTTGTTTATGCGATTTATTACCTGATTGTTGTGTACAATGAAATCCCCAAAATGGGAAACGGAAAATGCAATCTTCTAATAAATAAAAATGTTTTAAAGGTTTCCAAACACCGATGGAGTTTTTGAAACATAGATGTCCTCTATCTCTAGAGCTTTCGTGTTTCGTAGGTGTTAACCTTTACTACTTGCTTCCACTATTCTCCCTCCGTCCAACAACAAATCAACTTCTCTGATCAGTGATAATAACTTTCGGACAATATTTTCAATTATTATATTTGTATGAAATTTGTAATTTTTGTTAATTAGTGATTTTTACATATTGTTATTATTTGCTCACTTTAATTATTTATGATTTGCCATCTTCGTGTTTTTAAAATATCACATCATCAAACTTTGAGGCACTTTTAATTTTGAACTTTCTTCACTTTTTAGCTTTCAACGTAACTGAAACACATAACTCGAGACAGAACAGGTAATGCATATATTTGAATTAAGAGACGAAAGAAACTTAGAATGTATCCTAATTATGGGAGTACATGTCCTTGCAAAGTGCCTGTTTTTGTTGATTTTTATAATTGGAGAGGAAAACAGCTTCAGAGGTGAACAAGATAGAATTCTAGACTTTGGCGGGATGATGGAATCCACGGAAAAAGTTGATCGCAAAATAGTGACATCATCGACACATCATATTGGAAGGGAAAAGAAAGCATGAAGAAATTGGAGTGACTCAAAATAGGTGCCTATGATGACACATCGGAGAGGAGAGCATGGTATAAATGTAACTAAAATAAATTTATGCAATTACGCTACCTATATATATTAATGAACTGAACAAACGTGTTTAACAGCTTAGCATAAAAGATAATAATAATAGTAAATCCTGTTTCTCAAATTGTGAATATATATAGTTGTCATAATAGTTACGTTAGTCTTTTAATATTATGAAATGAATTCGTCATCCATGTAATCATATTATTACTAATACAATAAAATTACTTCTTATTTTACTTTACCAAGTATAGTCATGACAGTGTTCAGTTTATTACTACATTTGTTTAGAATTTATTACTACATTTGTTAATCACATTTTATTTTCTTTAGGGTTTTTTAATCCAGATTGTCCTCTTCACAGTTATACAATGTCTTCAACCCGAGGCCCCACTATAGCTTCATTTTTTTTTTCACTTCTCAATCTCTCTATAATATTTGATATTTGAATGATTCTTTTTGTTAGTGCTTCCATGTATAAATTGTTATAAAATATTACATATGGAGAGTGGCAACAATACATCTTTCCTATAAAAGTTTACATTTATTGTAATGGCTAAACTATCATTTAGAATTAAAACTTTATTGTTTAAATTTTCACACATAATTCATAGAATGAGAGTTGGTACACGAACATTAATATATGTTTCATGCTTCCTTAGATGTATGATCAGTTTGAATCACCACCACAAGCAATTTTATAAAGAAGATGAACGTAGTCAAGTAGTGAGTCTATTTTTTATTTACTGTTTTATCCTTTTACTCTTTTTAATTTATCAACTATATTTCTTGAAAATATTACATTAAACAATTTGGGCAAACTTTTGATGTTTGGATTTTAACATTCTCAATTTAAATGAAGAGTGATATCACATCTGATTAATTGTAACTTTCATATTATTATTAGGTAACACTCTAAATTTTAGCATGTTTTTAAGGGTTGGATGTTGTTGTCGTCAAGGTAAAAGATGTTAAATTAATATTTCAGCAGCATAAAAAAATACTCTTGAAAGGCATTAAGAAGTTTGGGGTATATTTACATTCTTATATCTTTTCCTAACTGTTGAACTTTTTTCATATTTTTATGCTTTGAATTTGTTGACTTATCCATATTACTAGACAATTAATAATGTTCATTTTTTTTGCATCATATTCATTAATTATCTTTGAAATTTTTTAAAACCCAATAAGTACATGTTTAAGCAAAGTGTAGCTAAAGGTTTTGTCTTCATATTTTTGAATATTTACTTACTTTCAATTGAATAAAATTGACATTATAAGTAATTTATTGATTCCATATTTTTCACCAACTGCATTGACATTATTAGTATTTAGTTCAATTCTCACTGAATCTCTCACATTACCATTTTTTTCTCACTATCATTATTAACTAATTTATTTGTTACATTTGTTACTCAGATAATTTACTCAGTTTTAAACATTTGAAAATTAATAAGACAAATGACACAAAAAATCTGTTTTTCTAACCAATGAGAAAAGAGAGGTTTGTTTCCAAATCAGACCTCGCTCCATACATGATGGAGAACTTCAGTGTACTGTGAAGTGAAGGACAATTATAAGACATGCGACTATCCACGCTCCGGTCAATTCACAAGTGGTCAGGGGCGGAGCCAGAGCAGTGAGCCAGACTGGGCCGGTACAAAGAATATTTTTGAGAAAAAAATTTACACGGAATTTTTTACACTAAAAATATAGACATTTTTAAAATTTGGGTTGGGCCAGGGGTGGCCACCCCCTAGCTACGCCCCTGCAAGTGGTGCAACACTTATTGACGATATTTCCACACATTGCTATGACTTTAAAAAGCTGTGATATATCAAGTGGCAATCTTTGTACTCATGTAGTGAGTAAGTTTGCATTGTCACACTTCTTATTCATTTACATGACTATGAGTCTATGACATTTTCAATGATCATTATACAACAATTAAAATTACAAATGTATTTTTTATTAAACAATTGGATGATAGAGTAACTGAGTAAGTATAATAGTCCGAAGCACATACACTAACCTACACGAGAACTAAAGTGGCCGTTTGGAGTCCCATTTTTGGGCTGATAAGCTTGAATGCAAAAGAAAATCACCAGACACCCCTATTTTGGGTTGAAATCTATTTTTGGCTTAAAATACATTTTTATCCCTTCTTGAATACTTCACCCCCAATTCTCTTCTTCGTTCACATCTGTCGTCGTCTTTCTTCCCAGATATCATTTCGCATCTAAGCCATCTTATATATGCTTAAAATATTTCTGCTCGATTACATTTTGTATGCATGTTTTCTGGATGTTTTGATTAGTTACATTACGACACATTCCAATTAATGATTATGTTTAATTTATGTACTGTTTTTATTTACGGAAATTGTCCTAAATAGGACTAATGAGTTCCTAAAAAGCACAAATAGGACTACTACTTTTAAAATTCTCTAAATAGGACTAAACATTGATTTTCTACCCTAAATACCCCTTAGAGTATTAATTCATAATGAAATTCTTTAATTCATAATAAAAATCATAAAAAACGTAAAAAATATTTTAAAAACGTAAAAAAAATTATAAAAAATTTATAAAAAATTTATAAAATAAAAAATTTAATTTTTTAATTTTTTAATTTTTTTTTAAAAAAATAATAAAAAATAGTAAAAACCCATAAAAAATGAAAACAATTATGGATACCTTTCCCACCGCCTCCCGCCGCCTCCCAGCACCACCACCTCCGATTGGTGAAATTTCTTCCACTTTTGGTAAAAAAATGCCATATTTTTCTGAAAATGCCAAAAAGATGGCATAATTACTCTTCAATATGCCAACATTTTCATTGAATATGCCATCATTATGGCATTATTTTAAATGTTGGCATATTTTTCTCCGGTGATGGGAGCTGGTGGTGTTGGGGGTGGAAGGGGTAGTAATGTTTTTTTTTTAATTTTATGATTTTTTTTTTATTTTTTTTAAAAAAATGTTTTTTTTTTGTTTTTTTAAACAATATTTTTATTATTTTTCTATTATTTTTTTTTACGCTTTTTAGTATTTTTTCGATTTTTATTAATTTTTTTATGATTTTATTATTAATTAAAACATTTTACAAGTTGCAAGGGTATATTTGTCCAAACACACATAAATAGTCCTATTAAAGGAATTCAAAAAATGTAGTCCTATTTGTGCAATTTTGCCACTTTTTAGTCCTATTTAGGGAATTCACTCTTTTATTTATTTATTTTACATGTGAGCTTTTTAATATAAGTAATAGAAATTGTAATGTTTTACATTAATTTACTCATATTAATAAACAGATTTTCCTAGCAAAGCTAACATACACATATTTCAAATATAAAGAAACAAATACCCTTTTTGGTAAATATACATTCAATCAGCCACTTCAGTCAAGATATTATCAAACTGTTGAGTTTAATCCAACACGATATAGTAAATATATGTATGAATGTGTATGAACAAACTATTTTTACGTGGAAACCCGAAAGGGAGAAAACCACGGGACTTTTTAGGCTAATGTCCAAGCCCTCTCATTCTCATTAGGACTCTCCTCACCATTACATAGTACAAGTATTGAAGCTCCCATTAATGGAGTTCTAAGCTATTCTAGTGAGAAGGAGGAAGAAGAAAAGGATCCATAATATGGAGGGAAACTCCTATATTTATAGAGAATAGGGGAAGGGGATGCTCTCCACCCTAATGGGCCGCATGGGCCGGAGTGGGCCCAAATGGCTAAAGTGGGCCGGATGGGCCGAAATGGGCCTAGCTGCTCGGGCTCCGTACTACGTAAAGCCTTGGACTCATGAACAGTAATAGGCCGGGATAATATATCCCAACACAAGTCCCCCAGTTTCTTGAGTAGTGAGCCCGCGAATCTGCTCGAGAAAATATACTCTGCCTGCGCTCTTCCTCTGTCTTGCTGGAAATTGTGTCTTCACATAATCATCATATATGAGTGAGTGTCTGCACTCCTGAACGTAATCTACCAGTGAGGCACCCCCCTTCCCGACAGGGTCGGGCGAAGGGTGCTCCTCCACGGGCACACTCCCCCTGAATGCATCAGGCGGGAGTAAAGAACTCTGACTCGAGCTTTCCAATCGGAGAAGCTTAGAGGTCCATCATCTATAAACCGACGTCGCGGTACTGTCAAAACATGATGCACATGTGTATGTATGAATGTATGAGGTATGATGCATGAATGTATGTATGCATGTAATGTATGTATGTAATGTATGAGAGAGGGAATGCAAGATGTGATAGAAGCAGTAGCTCTCATCGATAACCCGGGCATGTCAGCGCCGAGAAGCAGACGCGCTGCGTAAGACGGGTCCCCCATCCGAGATGGCATGGGCGGAGCCGAAGGTGGACTAGACATGATGCCGCCGAGGGGCCAATCATGCTGCATACGACGGGTCCCCCCATCCGAGATGGCATGGGCGGAGCCGGAGGTGAACTAGGCATGATGCCGCCGAGGGGCCAATCGAGCTGTATAAGAGATGTTCGTCGCCATCCTGGAAGGGATGGGCGAGCCGAACACGAGCCAGACACGATGGCGCTGGGGCGCTGATCGTGCTGCATATGAGACGTTCGTCGCCATCCTGGAGGGGATGCATGATCCGAACGTGAAAGAGACACGATGGCACTGAGGGACCGATCGTGCTGCATAAGACGGTCGTCGCCATCCTGAAGGGAATGTGCGAGCCGAACCGTGAAGCCAGGTACGATGGCGCTGAGGGGCCGATCGCACTGCATAAGACGTTCGTCGCCATCCTGGAAGAGATGCGCGATCCGAACGTGAAAGAGACATGATGGCGCTGAGGGGCCGATCGTGCTGCATAAGACGGTCGTCGCCATCCCGGAGGGAATGTGCGAGCCGAACCGTGAAGCCAGGTACGATGGCGCTGAGGGGCCGATCGCACTGCATAAGACGTTCGTCGCCATCCTGGAAGAGATGCGCGATCCGAACGTGAAAGAGACACGATGGCGCTGAGGGGCCGATCGTGCTGCATAAGACGTTCGTCGCCACCCTGGAAGGGACGGACGGGCTGGACGTGAGCTGGGTACGATGGCGCTGAGGGGCCGGTTGTACTGCATAAGACGGTCGTCGCCATCCTGGAGGGAATGGGCGAGCCGAACCGTGAACTGGGTATGATGGCGCTGAGGGGCCGATCATACTGCATAAGACGTTCGTCGCCATCCTGGAGGGAATGGGCGAGCTGAACGTGAGCTGGGTACGATGGCGCTGAGGGGCCGATCGTACTGCATAAGACGGTCGTCGCCATCCTGGAAGGGAATGGGCGAGCCGAACCGTGAATCTGGACACGATGGCGCTGAGGGGCCGATCGTGGTTCAGAAAAATAGTGATGATCATCTCATGGCCCTCGGCCTGTCGGTGAGTGATAATCGTCTCGCGGCCCTCGGCCGTGCTGGTGATGTGTCAAGTCTCTCTCCTGATTGGCTGTGAGAAGCCGATCGTCTGCCAGGACTCCATCCGGGAAAGAATGGTGAGCCTGAAATAAATCTGGGCGTTGTCCCTCCTACCTGATCTGGGGAGCTGATCGTCGTTCGTCTACCGTATCCGTGGTCCTATGTACGGACCGCTATGCGGTGTACACTCGGCACGCAACAGACTCCGATAAAGAACTGGTTCTTCATGTCGGATCCATGGAGCTGGTCTTCGTTCGTCTACCGTATCCGTGGTCCTATGTATTGACCGCTAAGCGGTTTACACTCGGCACGCAACAGACTCCGGTAAAGAACTGGTTCTTCATGTCGGATCCATGGAGCTGGTCTTCGTTCGTCTACCGTATCCGTGGTCCTATGTATGGACCGCTAAGCGGTGTACACTCGGCACGCAACAGACTCCGGTAAAGAACTGGTTCTTCGTTCTTCCCAAGTCTCGTGAGTACTGGTCTCCTGGTTTCGCAGGAGACGTTCGTCATCCCAACTATGAGAAGAAACAGGTTTATCCACGTCGGGATTCCCTATTCTTCGTTCGTCCTTGTCGTGGTCCTACTAATCTTCTTACTTCGAAGAAGACGTTTGGTCATCCCACGATCGCAAGGAGGAACAGGTTTATCCACGTCGGGATTCCCTATTCTTCGTTCGTCCCTGTCGTGGTCCTACTAATCTTCTTGCTTCGAAGAAGACGTTCGGTCATCCAACGATCGCAAGGAGGTCACTGGTTTATCCACGTCGGGATTCCCTGCTTCGTCGTCCCATGCTCGTGGCCCTACTAGCCTTCTGCTTTAGCAGAAGGTGTTCATCGAACCACGGGTCATGGGAGGAACTGGTTTATCTTGCCGAGGTTCCCTTTGGTACGTCTAGCCCCCCCCCCCCACGTTCCTACTAGCCTCCGCGTCGGGAGACGTTCGTCATACGCGGCGAAGGAAGATCAGGCATACCTCGTCAAGACTCCCTCTCTCATAGGATCTCGTCTCCCCTTCTCCCCATTTTTTTTTTTTCTTTTCTTTTCTTTTCTTCTCTTTTTTTTTTTTTTTTTTTTGAGGGAGGAAAATACGTTCGTCGGTTCCAAGAATAACCACAAGTGATGTCACACATAATGTCATGCGAAGGCGATGGTCACCCTCATGAAGGGAGGGGTGAGTCCGATCGCTAACTCAAGAAGGTCGGCATTGGGAGCCGATATACAATGATCATAATGTCGCTGAGCAGTCGGTCCTGATAATGGAGATGACAATAGTGTCCGGTCAGGCCGATTTATCCGAGCAACGGCTCTCATCCAACGCAGCGCGGGGATGAAACCGGTCTTCAAAAGATAAATATGTCGTGCCGAGAGGCCGATCATAACATGATAGTGTCGGCAGTCAGAGGCCGACCTGAAAGAATCAAGCAATGGTCCTCGTCCGCGAGGGGCGGGGACAAGGCCGGTCTTCAAAAGATAAGCACGCCGAGCCGAGGGGCCGGTCGTGGTATAATGGTGTCGGCAATGAGCGGGCCGATCTGAAAGAATCAAACAACGGTCCTCGTCCGCGGGGTGGCGGGGACGAGGCCGGTCTTCAAAGATGATAATCACTCCAGGCCGGGGGGCCGAACATGATATGACAGTGTCGGCAATGAGCGGCCGATCTGAGAAAATCAAGCAACGGTCCTCGTCCGCGAGGGCGGGGACGAGGCCGGTCTTCAAAGATGATAATCACGTCAGGCCGGGGGGGCCGAACATGATATGACAGTGTCGGCAATGAGAGGCCGATCCCAAAAATCAAGCAACGGTCCTCGTCCGCGAGGGCGGGGACGAGGCCGGTCTTCAAAGATGATAATCACGTCAGGCCGGGGGGCCGAACATGATATGACAGTGTCGGCAATGAGAGGCCGATCCCAAAAATCAAGCAACGGTCCTCGTCCGCGAGGGCGGGGACGAGGCCGGTCTTCAAAAGATAGGCACGCCGAGCCGAGAGGCCGGTCGTGGTATAATGATGTCGGCAATGAGAGGCCGATCAAGTGTATCCGTGCAACGGCTCTCATCCGCGCAGCGCGGGGATGATACCGGTCTTCAGGTGATAAATACGCCGTACCGTGAGGTCGGTCGTGATGTAAGGATGGTCCCACGACCCTCGGCCGTAGTGGTCTCCTCTAGGCCACCGGCTCCTGGTGTGGAGATGCTCGTATCACGGCTCTCAGCCGTGATGGTTTCCTCTTGGCCCTCGGCCTCTGGATGATGGATGATCGTCTCACGATTCTCTGTCATGGCATTCGCCTCTAGATCCTCGGCCTCTAGGTGTTCTTCCTAGGCCATCGGTCTCTGGGGTGGAGATGCTCGTCCCACGGTTCTCAACCGTGGTGGTCTCCTCTAGGCCCTCGGCCCCTAGGTGGAGATGCTCGTCTCACGGTCCTCAGCCGTGATGCTCTCCTCTTTAGCCGGCCCTGCACGTCTTCAAGTCTCGGGCCGAGCGTCTTCTAATCATTTCACTCGAGCGCGTCGAGCGGCTTCAGCTGCGCAATAAGCATGGTAACGGGCCGCACGGCCCGACAATATGTATACACACGCAATCATCTGCATGGCTTTCTCTCTAATATCCACGATTACCGGCCTATGGGTTATCGTGACCCTCGGCCCGGCTCATCGTGCGGGGTTAATGGACGTAGCAGCTCGCGGCGGGGCCAATTAGCAGCCCGCCGAACGTCACATAGAGATATTCATCGGTCTGTGAGTTTTCAAACTCAGACCCAAGTTGGTCGCACCGCCCTCGGAAACACGAGGCCGAGCGCTTTGGTGCCCTCGGGGCCCCACAGGCCGCGTCTGGCAATAGTCACTTCGCGCCTAATGGCGTAGATGATACTGGGGTACGATCGTCGATCGGGCACGTAGTGCCGTGCGGACTAACACGCAACCCTCAAATTAAAATGCGTCGTCGGGGCGTCGCCCTTTTGGAGACGCTCAGACCGCTGAATCAAGCTGATCGAGAGTGGGCCATCAGGCCCACAAGAAATTAAATATTCAATAAGATGTTGGCTGAACCAACCATCACCAGAGCTTCGCTCCACATTATTTAATTCGGGACATTTTTATCCCTAATAATTAATAGTGGCGTAACAGGTAATAGCAATGATATTATCCTACCAAAGGCCATTCAAGTATACTCCGTTCGCTAATTAAAGCCGATCAGGAGCGGGCTGACGGGCCCACAACAATTAGTCATTAAATTTAAATGACGGTGAAAACTAATTATCACTTAGAGCATCGCTCTCATTATTTAATTTCGGGAGTTTTAATCCCTAATAAATAATAGTGATAAAAATTAGTAGTAACATTTCTTATTTTTAACACATTTACGGAGTATTAAAAGAAATGCAAGAACGGGGTACTTAGCTTCAAAATAGATATTCGGCCAGTGGAGTTTTGTGGAGTCAGATTTGCTCCCTTGCTTGTTGTCAATTTGGACTTGGTCAACATTATCCCAAATCCTCCCATTGACCAAGCTTTATGTTCTCATACGGGCTGAAATAATGAGCTCATCTACCAATTGGACCCTCAATCCCTTGAGCAGTTCGGCTGACTCCTCCTTCACTCAAATAATGCAAAAGTGCTCCGCTCGTCTTTCACTGCTATCTCCCTTTTGAGATTCTGGCCCTTCGTACGTGGCCTGCTAACAGCCAGGCGAGGAGCATCTTCGGAGTAGCAGAGGATAACCCCCACCAAGGCCAGCAGTACAGGTCGGCCGCTGAGTCGCCGACCGAGGGCGGCGATGGAACCTGCTGCAGAGTAAGGGTGGCCGGAAGAGCCGGTCCCCAGCGGAAGCTCGACCAACTACCGACTATACCTCTTCCGAGCTCAAAACCACCATTAATGGTGGAAGTCATGAGGCTCTTAACTGATAGAACCCCCATGTTGCGTCGGCTTCAGACCGCTGTTGACGAGCGGCGGTGTGCGACTCAGGCGGTGGCCGCTGGAAATGTCTGGGATGCTGCGGCGAGCTTCCCCTGACGCAGCTGGACGCAATGGAAGGTCCACGGCGGTGGGAACGACGGCAGTTGCGGCGGCTCCGGCGGCCGCAATCCAGATCTGTAAAAAGACAAACTAGATTCGAATTCCCAGAATTCGTAGCTTCTTCGCTTCCCAGAATCATTTTCCCTAGAATTTTTTCTTCTTTTTCGCTGGAATCAGTCTACTTCGAGTGAATCTCTATGTAGAAACTCAAGAGCAGTAGAACACATGAATCTTTTTGGACAGATTCCCACAGACGGCGCCAGTGTTGAGTTTAATCCAACACGATATAGTAAATATATGTATGAATGTGTATGAACAAACTATTTTTACGTGGAAACCCGAAAGGGAGAAAACCACGGGACTTTTTAGGCTAATGTCCAAGCCCTCTCATTCTCATTAGGACTCTCCTCACCATTACATAGTACAAGTATTGAAGCTCCCATTAATGGAGTTCTAAGCTATTCTAGTGAAAAGGAGGAAGAAGAAAAGGATCCATAATATGGAGGGAAACTCCTATATTTATAGAGAATAGGGGAAGGGGATGCTCTCCACCCTAATGGGCCGCATGGGCCGGAGTGGGCCCAAATGGCTAAAGTGGGCCGGATGGGCCGAAATGGGCCTAGCTGCTCGGGCTCCGTACTACGTAAAGCCTTGGACTCATGAACAGTAATAGGCCGGGATAATATATCCCAACACAAACATTTTCACTTCAGAAATTTCAGCCAATTTAGTCAGTTCAGCAGTTTCAGCCATTACAACCGTTACCATACAGGCCCAAAAACGAGGAGTTCCTAAACTATTGAAATTGCATATGGAAACAAGGACTATATTCATTCTTCGTTCCTTGGTGATATTTTAAATGTATTACTATTTATTTACTTACACACCAAAAACTAAATTAAAGTAATTATTTGAGTTAAACATATGAATATTTTATTATTTTAGGTGAAGAAAACAATATTTAAATTGTGATTCTATAGACAAGTGAGATGCAGTCCAAACAAAAGCATTTGAATCATTGACACCTGATTCTTAAAAACACTTGGTCTTCCGAATTACGAAGTATGAGATAAGGCTCAAAGTTTGGACTCCAATAATATCATTATGAAGTAATATATACCAATTTGAAAATTTTGTATGATTAGTAGAACTAAATTAAATTTCACATAATTTCAAAATCATGTTATTGGAGTAAGAATATGTCTAGAGAAGGTGCACGCCTCCTTCAAAATCAACATGGATTTTTAAACTTATCGGAAGACAATTTTTTATAATTTCTTCTATTTTATGACAATCAACAAAAGTCAAGGTTAGTTACTAAAAAAAATTAGTATACCTGTGTAGACATATTCTTAGTCGTGTAATGTTGGATGTGGCATTATCGAGAGTTTGTAGTAAACATAGATTGAAAATCTTAATAAATGACAACGAAGGGAATTCATTACACACTATCCCAAATGTTGTCGTTAAAAGAAGTTTTCCAAAATTTATGAGTATAAATTTAATACTTTATTACTATCTTCGCCCCATATAAATGTTCAACGTTCAATATTCTCCTGTCAACGTAAATTGTTCATAATTGTTTACTTGATATATATATATATATATATATATATATATAGACACACACACACGCGCACACACACACACACATACATACATACATACATACATACATACATACACACATACACACATACATACATACATACATACATACATACATACATACATACATACATACATACATACATACATACATACATACATACATACATACATACATACATACATACATACATACATACATACATACATACATACATACATACATACATACATACATACATACATACATACATACACACACACACACATCCAACTTTGATCATATATGAGTTTCATTTTGTGACTTTATAAATTTTTTAACGTAGTTTATGAATATGTAATGTTTATTTCCTAAAAATAATCTTATTATTGACAGAGATTAGTTAACTTTATGGTAAATCAAATATCATAAACACATGAAAACAACATTGAAATGAAACAAAGAGAGTATATGTTATCGACAATACTAACTAAAAAGTAGCAAATTAAATTCAAATGAATGGTCTCATTTATTTAGCTTTCCTCAACATATATTCTATGTACTTTTAATCTTTTAAAATGTAAAATTTTGAAAAGTTCTTTATCTTTCATATTTAATTAGATGATGGTAAAAGCAGATGCACCAACCGTTATTCCCCGTGCGTATGCACGGGTTCTATACTAGTCTTCTACGATTTTTGAACCTCAATTCCTACGAATCTTATTATTTCAAAAAAAAAAAAACGAATCTTATTTACTCTCTATTAGGGTATGCTTGGTTCAAGGAATGTCAAATTACCATGGGAATGTCAGATTGCTGGATATGTTAGATTGATGGGAATGTATTTAATTTATTCTCACTTGTGTTTGGTGACATCAAGAAAATGTCAGATTGTTGGGTATGTTAAATTGATGAATTACATTTATGCCCTTTAAACATTTTCTCTTAACGCAATAAATCTATTACAACATACATCTAAAGTGATTAAAATTAAAGAAAAATGAATATCTTAATATTAAATAAAATCAAATCTAATTGAATTATTTTTAAGTAAATATATTGAATTGTTGTAGATCCAATATAGAAATGAAAAAAACTTTGTTCAAATAGTAATATAAATATATTTGATATCATCTCAAAAAATTAATATTTAAAAATGATCAAGTTAATTTTGCAAAAGTTGTTTTCAAAATAAAGAAAAAATGACCAACTTTGCTATTAAATTTTGAAATCCACTCATCAAAACTTAAATAATCTATAACTCTTATAACATAAATACCTTAACAAAATTAAATGTTAAGGAAAAAAATTATGCAAATAACAAGAATAGGCATTCACATATAATCAATACTCCGTCAGTCCCACCTAAAAGGTTGTAACATCAATCAATTCTAATCTAAGTTAAATACTAATGTCTCGGAAGAATAATTAACATACTAAATTAGAAAGAGAATTTAGAATATTATAATTAATGTTTGATTAGAAGACGACACATGACAAAACTTTCCATTATTGTATCTTTCAAATAGATTATCTATAGACAGGGCCGGTTTTGGGGGCAAGAAGCCTAGACAAATGTCTAGGGCCTCCAGATTTCAGGGGTCTCCAAATTTAATCTAAGCCCATTGGTTATGTGTATAATTAAACATTATTACATTAATTTAGTCCAACAATCTGCAGAAGCTTGAAGCTCGAAGGTCAAATCCTCAAAGGTCGAAGTTGAGAGACGGCCTAAGAGCATCTCCAATGGGGTAGTGGATTGGAGTAAAGTCTATCCTACATGGCATAGGAGAGAGATAGAGATAGGATGATTATTTTAATTTAATATGGAGAAAGTGGTGTGTATGGAAAAATGAAAAGGAAGAGAGAGATAGGAGTAAATTGTAGACAATGTCTATGACAATGTCCACAAATAGACATTACACGGGAATCGAGGAGCAAAAGTGGATGAAAAGTGGGTTAAAAGTGATATAAAAAAATGAAAATGAAAATAAATATGGAGATATGTAGGTTCTACACATAAAATTTGTGAGATAAAAATGGGACCCAATTGTAAGAGTGTGTAAGAGAATAGACATCCCCATTGGAGATGCTCTAACAGGTCACACTGCGCACTACCGGCTTTAGTCTTTAGGTATTTTATTAACTTTACTGTAGTTGATTTAGTTGATTTGAAGAATTTTCGGACTACTTGTTTGTCACTCCGTATTTTATTGTTTATATTTTTAGTTTTTACAAAATGTTACTCCCTCCGTTCCTAAAAATTCTTCCCGGTTTGACTTGACACGCCTATAGGAACTTCCCAAGCTATCTCTCTTCTCTCTCAAAGAGGCTCTCTAACTCTCTAGCTTTCTCACTCTAAGAAGTGAAATCTCTCTTGGCTAGGATGGTTAGGAATGGAGACCTCAACTCCTATTCCTTCCATACTCTTTCATAAACTTCCGGAAGGTTCCACACATCTATAGAATGACCCTTCCTTCTTTCCTCGAGCCATGACCAAACT